CCCCGGGGGGGATGGTCACGCTGCAATCCCTTCTCCTCCATTCTCCTCTCGGGATCTTGGGCACACACGCACACGTGCCCAGCGTGAGTTCTAAGCCACCGGGTCCGGGACGTGAACCGCGGTCGACTACGTGGGAGTCCAGCGACATAGCCATTACCGTAACTGCTGGTTCCCCTACCTTCTTTTCTAAACTTGACTGGAACCCTTCTGCTCATCTTTCACACCCAGCTGAGCCACTGCCTCCATGAAGCCCTCCTAGACTTTCTTTCTCTCCCTACCAAGTGGAGTCATTTTCTCTCCACTTTGCCTCTTGCACAAACCCTCCATTATAAATGGGTTGTATTTGTTAATGCTTCTGAAATCTTGACCTACATGAAGTACAGAATGTGGAACATCCAGAATACAGTTTCCAAATGGCTGTGCCAAGAAACTTGGCTTGGTAAAGCATGTGCCCTGGCACTAGGCCGGGTCAGAGGGCAATAGGGCCCAGGTGCAGTTCATCTTGGAGCACTCTGCTGCTCCCAGGCTGTTCTCTGCCTCCCCTGGAAGGAGGGAAGAAAAGATGCGAAGATGCTCAATCCACTCTTTTTTTCTAGAGATACCCTTGCTATAAGGCGTGTGCTTACTGGAGGGACAAAGAAACAAAGTGAGAAATCACCCCCCTGGGGTGATGGCCATGCCACAATTCCATTCTCCTCTAGGGATTTTGGGCATGCACACATGCATGTGCGCCTGGTAAGTGTGTCCCAAGCTGCCGAGTCCTAGACTCAAAGCACAGTCAGCCATGTGGGGTCCAGGGATGCAACCACTACACCATCTGCTGGTCCTTCAAAACCCACTCTTGGGGTGGGACCAGCAGTTAGCATAATGGCTATGTCACTGGACTCCCACGTAGTCGACCGCGGTTCAAGTCCCGGACCCGGTGGCTTAAACTCACGCCGGGCGCATGTGCATGCGTGCCCAAGATCCCGAGAGGAGAATGGAGGAGAAGGGATTGTGGCGTGGCCATT